GGTAGTTCTGAACATGGCACAAGTTCATCACGTCAATCCCAAACCCATAGGGTTTCGGGTTTTAGGGTTTAGGGTCTACGGTTTCAGGGTGTAGGGTGTAGGTTGTAAGGTGTAGGGTTTAGGGTTTAGGGTTTAGAGCCGAATTTAATGCGTGCAAGAACAACTTTGAAAATCCAAGCTAAGCAAGCTCAACTTCTTCGTTCTTAGCAATGATGTTGCAGGACTTAAGGGATTTTGGATGCTCAAGGGCCCCTGAGCAGACAGTCAGAAAGTCAGATAATCAGGTTGATCTGCATTGAAAGCAGAAAGCCAAAAAGTCAGACGCTTAAGATTTTCTAAGAAGTATTCTTCCCGGTACCAGAAAAGGCAGACAGTCAGACAGGCAGACGGACGGAGAGACTAAACACACAGTATGTGAATGCGTGCAAATGTCTGACTGTCTGCCCCGCGGAGACAGTTAGACACTTAAAAGAAGTTTACTTCGGAACAGGCAGGCGGCAGACAGTCAGACAATCAGGTTGATCTGCGAACTCTTCGAGGTGGAAAAACAGACAGTTAGACACTCAAGTCTTCAGCGCAGACACTCAGACACCTTGTAACTTGAGATGACGACACTCAGACAGGCAGACGGTCAGACAATCAGGTTCATGTTCTCCAGAATACGCACATGGCGAGACCAGACACGCAGACCGGCAAATCTGCATCTGCATGTCTCAGTGTCTGAGTGTCTGCTGCGCGGTTAGCGCCCCCACGCATGACCTCAATCCAACACCCGTCGCGTGTGTTTGGCCGGGAGTTGGTCCGAAAGAAGCGAGAAAGCAAGCGCAGAGCATTAGCAAAAAAGCATAACATAGAACAACTGCAACCAAACAATGCGGTGAACAAACACAAGTGCAAAGCAGAAAGCAAACGCATTTTCACAAAACAAGCAAGTGGTAGAAAACTAGGGAGAGAAGCAAAGTCCTTTGCTTTGCTTTGTTTTGATTGCTGCGCTTGGTTTCGTTCCAGTGTTGCGCGATTTTGCTGAATCACACTTGGTTTTCTTGACACGCAGCCCCTATTTTGCTTGCGTAAGAGGGAGTGTCGAACCCCTGAGGACAGTGATCATAGACGCCCAATATCGAGTTGGAGATATACATGTGTATATGCATATACAGAAGATATATATATATATATACATATATATATATATATATACATATGTATATATATATATATAATACATACATATATATCCGCCGACCCCAGCAACAGCGGGGCGGCGTCAGTGAAGACCCTCCCTGCCCTCACCCCCTACCCCCCTCCCCCCCACTCCCACCACCAACCCTTCCCCTGCCCCTCCCACTACCCTTCCCCTTCCCAACCATTCCACTCCATCCTCCCTCCCCTACCCCTATTCCCTGCCCCCCCTCTAACCGTACCCCCTTGCCCGCCCCTAACCCTTCCACCACCACCCCCCCCCCTCTCCCGCCTACTCCGCCCCGCTGTTTCAGGGCCAATCCACGCCCGCCCTGACGGCTCCCCTTACTCCACCCCTGCCTTCCACCCCCCAACCCCAATCCCCCCCACGCACCCCCAACCATTCCACTCCATCCTCCTCCCCTACCCCTTCCCCCATTCCACTCCATCCTCCTCCCCAACCCCTTCCCCATCCCTGCCCCCCCTCTCACTCCACCCACCACCAACCCCTTGCCCGCCCCTAACCCTTCCACCACCAACCCCTTCCCCTGCCCCCCTCCCACTACCCTTCCCCTTCCCAACCATTCCACCCTCCCCTACCCCTTCCCCACCCCCAATCCACTTACCTCATCTCCTCCACCAACCCCCCTCCCCCACTCCCACCACCAACCCCTCCACCCTTCCCCTTCCCAACCATTCCACTCCACCCCTCTCCTACTCCGCCCCACCGCTGCCATCCACCCCCCAACTCCCCAATCCCCCCCGGCTGGGGCTGGGTGGGGCTGCGGCTGGGGCTGGGGCTGCCAACCCCTATGCCAGGCTCATTGGTCACTTGGTGGCTCATGGCCCCCGTTTTACGGGCCTTTGCCTCTCTAGACTCGATCAGATGACTGACTTTATTTTTAGGGCTCCAGTGCATGCCCGCCCCCTCCGCTTGCTCCGCCCCCTCCGTTTGCACTTTTTTTTTTAGGGCTCCAGCGCATGCCCGCCCCCTCCGCTTGCTTGCTCCGCTCTTCCTCCCCCCCCCCCCCCCCCCCCCTACTGGCTCATGGCCCCACAGTTTTACGGGCCCTTTGCCTCTCTAAAATTGATCAGATGACTGACTTTAAAGGGCTCCAGTGCATGCCCGCCCCCTCCGCCCGCTCCGCCACTCCGCCCGCCCACTCCGCTCCGCTTGCTCCGCCCTTCCCTCCCACCCCCACCCCCCCCCCACCCCCCCCATGCTTCCCAACCATTCCACTCCATCCTCCCCTTCCCCATCTCTGCCCCCCTTCTCACCGTACCCCTCTTCCCCTGCCCCCCCTCCCACTACCCTTCCCCTTCCCCAAACCCCTTCCCCACCACCCCCCTCCCCCCCACTCCCACCACCAACCCCTTCCCTGCCCCCACTCTCCCTTCCCAACCATTCCACTCCACCCCCATCCCGCTCCCCTCCCCCTTGCCCCCGCCCCCCGACCGCTCCCCTTCCCCATCTCTGTACCCCCTCTCACCGCTTTCACCCAACTTGCCACCCGCTCAGCACCCCCCCCCCCCCCCCCCCCCCCCCCACCCCCTTCCTACCCTCTCCCGCCTACTCCGCCCTCACCGATCTCTGCTGTTTCAGGGCCTATCCATCACCGTCCCCCCAACCCCCCCTTTTTGGCCAGCTGCATATGGCCCCCAATGGCTCCATGCCCTTGATGGTCCCCTAACCCTGTGCCTACTGGCTCATGGCCCCACAGTTTTACGGGCCTCTGGCCCTTTGCCTCTCTAGACTCGATCAGATGACTGACTTTAAAGGGTCGTGCATGCCCGCCCCCTCCGCCCGCTCCGCTTGCTCCGCCCTTCCCCCCCCCCCCCCCCCCCCCCCCCCCCCCCCCCCCCCCCCCCCCCCCCCCCACACCTTGGAAAATTTGGGGTCGGCGGCACTGGCCATTAAATCAGGCAGCGCGAGGTCCCCAAAGGACCGAGCAAATGCGGACCTTTTAGCCCGGGTCGTCCCGGGAATAGCCTTGCTGGCCTCTGGCCTTCTGCGAAGCAGAATTAGGCCGGACGCCAGTGCCGCCGACCCCCGCGTGCCGCCGGGGAACGGTTTTTTTTTCGTGGTTTTTTGCGTCGCCACGGAGGCCCCCAGAGGGCGCGCATCATGAGCATCAGCGGGGCCAGCCCGGGACCCCCAGGCGCGCATCAGGAGCATCAGCGGCTCCCGGGGCGGGACCGCGGGGGGGCATCAGGAGCATGATGCCCCCCAAAGGGCGGGCATAAGCGACGTGTCTAAGCCCGGGGCTAGGAAAAAGGGAGTTTAGGGGCCTTATAAAGTGCTTAGAAACGTTAAGGGAGTTTCGGAGCTCAAACGCTTAGAGATTTGAAGGGAGTTTAGGGGCCTGAAAAATGCTTGGAAACTTTGAGGGGGTTGAGGAGCCTCAAACGCTTAGAGATTAGGGGCCTCAAAATGCTTAGAAACTGCTCGCCCCGCGCTTCTGCCTGCGCTGCCCGCCCATGGGCGCAGCCCCTTAAAATATATATGCATACATACATACATACATACATACATACATACATACATACATACATACATACATACATACATACATACATATGTATATACATGCGTGTGTGTGTGTGTGTGTGTGTGTGTGTGTGTGTGTGTGTGTGTGTGTGTGCGTGCGTGCGTGCGTGCGTGCGTGCGTGTGTGCGTGCGTGCGTGCGTGCGTGCGTGCGTGGGTG